ACTTAGCGTCACTTACTACTGACCTTTGAGCCACTACTGACCCATTAACTTAGTATTACTTACTACTGACCCCTAATGCTGCCTCTTTTCCCTGACAACGTCTATCCCCAGCACTATTGACTATGCTAACAGCTAGTAGTTAACACTTCTGCCTGTCAGTGGTAAGGTACCCAGTTCACCTCCTGGTTAGGACACCATCTGCATGGAGTTTGCATGTTCTTCCTGTGCTCATGTGGGTACTCCATTTTCCTCCCACGTTCCAAAGACAGGCTAGTAGGTTCATTGGATCCTGTCTAATCTGGCCCTAGTATGTGTAAATATGTATGTATGTGAGGACCATAAACTGTAATTGAATAATTTTTTTCAAATGTATGTATCCTACCTTCATCACACATAAGTCCTTTCCAGCCAGTAGCACAAGAACAGCCATATGGGTCCACTAGACAGAACATGTGCCCTTTGCAGGTTTCTTTGTCTCCACAGGTTTCTTTGCAGGTTGTGCCAAATCCGTGTTCACCACATGCTGCAAAAAAAGGATTAGCACACATTTAGGGCTGATATGTGATATTTTTGTAATGTGTATGAAAAAGTGGGCATCAGATCACTATCCATGTTCATTGACATATGGCGAATGACCTAGGTATTCAAGGCACTGTGTCTTTATTGATTGCATTGCAGAAATTCAGGCAAGTCCTTACTTACAGAGATGTGCAGGATGGAAAAATGTGTTAAGTTATTAATTTCGTTTCATCATATCCATTATACTAGAATTATTAATATTTAGATTTCATTTCATATATTTGGATTTTTTTCATATATTCGTTATTTTCGAATCGATTCGAAATTCTATTTTTGAAATTTGAATTTTGAAATTCGAATTTCAGAAGACAGTTATATTCAATCTATTTTATTCTATGCTATTCTATTTTTTTTATTTCTATTCTATTATATTCTACTCTATCCTATTCTAATCTTTTATTTTCTTTCGTATTTTTTTATGTTCTATTCTATTTTATTCTATTTGTTTATTTTATTTTCTATTTTATTCCTTTATATTCTATTCTATTCTATTCTATAAAGCAGCCTAAGTAGGAATCATCATCTTAGTTCCCACTTATAACTTACTGTATTTATTGCAATATGTTTCCATTTTAAATTCATTTTCAAATTCATTGTTTAAATTGTTGTTATTATTTGTTTGATTAAATTTGTTTCCATTGCGATTCAGAAATTCAGATACATCCGAATCTCCAAATAACGTAAATTTTGTCAGAATTTCAATTTGTATTGAAACAAATCATGCAAGTTTACTTTACTCACCCAAAATAAATATGTACAGGAGAATAGAACTGTACAGTTACATTTTGATTCTTGTTGTTCATTTATTAGTTTCTATTGCGAAATTTGTTTCTATTGCGATTCGGAAATTCAGATATATTCAAATCTCCAAATAATGTAAATTTTATCCAAATTTCGATTTGCAATGAAACAAATCATACATGTTTACTTACTCACCCATTACACATGTTGTTCCCATAAAGCCTGGAGGGCAGATACATTCCCCTGTGTCTTCATGGCAGACTCCACCATTATGGCAGTCTGGGCATTTTTTTTATTGCATTGTGGTCCCCACTTTTGTGCTCCACATCCTGGGAAGTAAAATAAGACACCCAAAATAAATATGTACAGGAGAATTGAACAGTACAGTTACATTTAGATTTTTGCTTTTCATTTATTAGTGCATACAAAGGTCTTTTTTTTTTTAAAGGACACTAGACAGCAATGCTATTAAAGACCTTTAAAGTTCTCTCTGTGGAATCACATTCACTAAAACAGTTCTAACAGACCTTTTTTAGTTTTAGAACTCACAGTGCAAACCTTGCTTTGATGAATACGGAAAACAACACACATTATTTTAGCAACTCCTGAAAGACTTGTAAACCCTTACATGTACCCACTGGAGTGTGTAGCCTCATGTATTACACAGGTGAAATTGTATCTGCTTATCTGCAGCCCTCTGTCCTCTAAAACCCTTTAAAACACCCAGATCAAAGGCTATTTCTCAGGGGGCTGAGTGTAATCTGAGACATGAGTGTAAGGAATGGACATACACCCCTCTACACAGTCCCATAGAGAACCATACACAGTTGATGATGTAAATCACCTACTGTATTCTGCGGGAGGGGGTCAGGCCATCTGCTGGGATTCTGTGGTGTCAGCATAGACTATCAGAAGTAATTAATGTAGATAGCAGAGGTTGGAAACAGCAGACAAAAATCACAGTAGGTGCATTTGATTGATGCATGTTCACACTCAGGAGGGATATGCTCTGTTCATTTTTAATTGTAAGTATAAACTACCAATTGTTTTACTGTGTTTTTTTTTTTTTTTTCTTTCCTATGCATCAACAGTTTTTTCTGATTTATACAAATAGGTTGAACCTGATAGTTATTTTAATCACGTTTACTATGTTTTTCTGTATACCTTTGGTATATGTAGAGCATTTTGCATGAAAAGACCATGTTCATCAGTCAGCATTTTTGGCACCCCACCTGGGTGCCTCCGCCAAACAATGCCTCCTGCCCTTCAAACCCTTCCAGCAGACCGATAGCTAATACCAGCCCTTTACCCCAAGCATTGTACACAGAAGAGATGTTGAGGTAAAAGCCAAAGGAAAACACTTTAATAAATAGAAATACAAGTTTTTTTATACACTTTAAAAATAGAGTCAGTCCCCCACATGAACAATAAAAACAAATATTACACATTGGGGTAAACATCCGACAATGGTTAGCTAAGGAGGTAAAGTTGACATAAGACTTATCACGGCAGGAGGATGAGCAAACAGACAGAAACAATAGGTTACTTTATTAACAATCAGAATTCACATCTAGGGAGCACACAATGGGGAAAACACACTCCATATCTAGACAGGGTAGACAAAAACAGGTACACAATAAACAGATTACTTATAATAGCAGTAGACCCCAGCATCAGGTTGTTTTGAGCTGATAATAATTTTTCTGCTTTGAGTCTCTGAATCTAGGAAAGGGTTGAAGCAGTCAATGATTTGCTTTGGGCACAGAGGCCCTAAATCTGTATCCAAGTCCTCCAGTTCTCAGAGTCTGTGTGTTTCTGGGAGATATGGACTTGAATCCAAAGTAAAACTACTCCAAAGGTCCCCCAGCCCCCCCCCCCCCCCCCCAGAAGAATGGAGCACTCAAATGCCAGGGCCCATAGTCAGTAAGGAAGAGGCTAGCCTGCAGTCCCCTTCAAAAGCCCCTGTCTTTGTTGGGTCTGTCACACATATAAACGGTCATAACCAGTGGTGGACTGACAACTCATGGGGCCCCAGGGCAACAGGAAATTATGGGGCCCCTGTGTCTTCGCCCACACTCAAACCACACCCAAAAAAGCCTATGAAACGTACTAAGGGCATCTCATGAGGCCCCCTACTGACCCTGGGCCCTTGGGCAGTGCCTGAATGGTCAGCCCGCCCCTGGTCATAACGACCATTTTGTCACAATTGTATTACGGTCAGAATTCTATTATGACCAGTTGATGTTGGGCATCACCACAAATAGATTCCGCACAATTTTAGCTTCATTGTTTTTTAATATTTATGATTAAATAGTAAGTACATTATAACATTTATTTTATTTTTTTATTTTATTAATTCATACTTTTGATTTGATACTAATGCCCTCTTGAAGGGCTAGCAATATTTCATTACCCATACAACACTGAACTTACTTCTGACAATAAGCCTGGTGATAGCAGTGTTTAAAATGGTTGCCTCCAATGTAACGCACTAGGTACACACTTGCATCCTTGGGCTGAACATTTATGATGGTGTGCTCTAGCAGGTTTGGCACTTCATGTTTTGGTACAGAGTGAAAGAAGGAATCTGGAACACATAAGCAGGAATATAACACAATGCAGGTAAACACACATACATCGTTTTTACTTGATAGCTACACAGATTTGGTTTTTATTTTATATGGCACTCAAGAACTTAATAGAAAACATTATTTTAAAACAGTCCTCTGCAGGTCTGAAAATATAGCTGAACATTGAACTATCCCCCAGACTAAATGGGGAAGCCTGCCTGCTATAGTCACACAATCAGCTGAAGGAGGGAACCTGCATCTCACTATTCCTCTAGAAATGGAATACTCTGGGCAAGTATCTCACGAAAGAGTATTATTATTATTATTATTATTATTATTAATAATAACAATAATAATAATAAAAAACTATATTTTATATAACACCTTTAAAGGTAGCTTCTCAAAGAGCATTACAAAAAACACAAGAAATACACAGCATAAAACAAAAAAAACTGCTCTAATGCCACTGTGGGGCCCCAAAGGCAGGACTATAGCTCCCCAGCGGCTGCAGGGTTTCTGAGCTGAGAAAGTCTTTCTCTCTCACAGCCCAGAGCCAGCACTCCCCCCTCACATGGACGAGGAGGGAGAGCTGGTTCTGCGCCTTGAACGATGGATCGACTTCAGTAATTACAAGCCTGTCATATTTTTTTTTCAGTGCAATCACTGTCTGTGACTATAGCTGCCAGCAGTGGTCATTGTATTCTGACAGCGGGGAAGCCTCCCACTGTCAGAATACAATAGAGCATCGGGAGGGGTTCCCCCATCAACACTAACTGGAATGATGAGGGAATTGAGTGATTTTCTTTCCTTCTACCTGTGGTGGAAGAAAAGAAAATTGTATACCGTATTTTTTCGCTCCATAAGACGCACCTGACCATAAGACGCACCTAGGTTTTAGAGGTGAAAAACAATAAAAAAAAAATATTCTGAACCAATGGACTGCAGACACAGTACTGGGGATGACCAGAGACTGCGGACACAGTGCATGAGATGACCAGAGACTGCGGACACAGTGCAGGAGATGACCAGAGACTGCGGACACAGTGCAGGAGATGACCAGAGACTGCGGACACAGTGCAGGAGATGACCAGAGACTGCGGACACACTGCAGGAGATGACCAGAGACTGCGGACACAGTGCAGGGGGATGACCAGAGACTGCGGACACAGTGCAGGGGACATATGACCAGAGACTGCGGACACAGTGCAGGGGATGACCAGAGACTGCGGACACAGTGCAGGGGATGACCAGAGACTGCGGATACAGTGCAGGGGGGATGACCAGAGACTGCGGACACAGTGCAGGGGATGACCAGAGACTGCGGACACAGTACAGGGGATGACCAGAGACTGCGGACACAGTGCAGGGGATGACCAGAGACTGTGGACACAGTGCAGGGGATGACCAGAGACTGCGGACAGTGCAGGGGATGACCAGAGACTGCGGACAGTGCAGGGGATGACCAGAGACTGCGGACAGTGCAGGGGCGGACCAGAGACTGCGGACAGTGCAGGAGATGACCAGAGACTGCAGACAGTGCAGGGAATGACCAGAGACTGCAGACAGTGAAGGGAATGACCAGAGACTGCTGACCTTTGGGGAGGGAGGGGGAGCGGGTACCTGAATTTGACAGGTACCCGCTCCCACTTCCGCTGAGTTGTCCTTCCCTCTTCTTCCCGCGCAGGCTTCTGTGACAGCCGGGTGCCCACTGCGCATGTGCAAGAAGCGCTGCGCTTTGTGAATGGCCCAGCGCCTTCTGGGACCTTTCATGTGTCCCAGAAGACACCGGATCATTCACAAAGCGCAGCGCTTCTCGCACATGCGCAGTGGGCACCCGGCTGTCACAGAAGCCAACGCGGGAAGACTGTGCAGCGCTGGAGTGAGGAACAGGTAAGGCCCTGCAGGAGAGCAAGAGCTGAGCGGCCGGCCCGGTATTTCTGACATGGTGGCCGCAAAAATACCGGACCGGCCGCTTTATATTCGCTCCATAAGACCCACTGACATTTTCCCCCCTTGTTTGGGGGGAAAAAAGTGCGTCTTATGGAGCGAAAAATACGGTAATCTATGGGATGCTTAAGAGTGTGTGTCTGTGTATGTATGTATATATATATATATATATATATATATATATATATTCACCTGCCACTTTATTAGGTACACCTGTCCAATTGCTTGGTAACACAAATTGCTAATCAGCCAATAACATGGCAACAACTCAATGCATTTAGGCATCTAGACGTGGTGAAGACAATTTGCTGAAGTTTAAACTGAGCACCCCAATGGGAAAGAAAGGGGATTTAAGTGACTTTGAACGTGACATCGTTCAGCATGACTCAGTAAGCATAAAAGCGAGACCCATAAAAACAGCCAGGCAACTAAGATTTTTCAGAAGGTCAACTGAGAGGCCTACATAGTTCTTTTTAAATAATTCCAACTGCTCATGTAACTCCCTAGTAGATGTCAGTTGGTTGGACTGGCGCATGAAAGGGGCAAGGTACCCGTTATGAGGGTTGTTAATAAATTCTTTTTTAAATATCTGTTGTTTCGCCACACTATATGAGCACAATTTGGGGTTTGACCATGGAGCTCTTGAAATCTCCACTAGAGGTACTGTTGACGGGCCCTGATATAACTACAGTATATTTGTTGCTACTGTACTGTATATACCAGTCTTCAGATGGCCAGGGCCAACCCCTTCCACTGTAGATGGTTGGTGTTGGTTCCTGGGCTGTCTGGGGAGGCATGGGAGGAGGCTATCTGCTTTCAAGATATTATTAGCACTGCTGACAAATTTATCCAGTTTAAGTTAATCCATCATCTTCACTATACTACTGTCAATTTGGTCCCTATGGGATTTGGATCTGCAGCCGCTTGTCCTCGTTGTGGCCTCGGGACGCAGATCTTTTACATATATTTTGGACTTGCCCTATCCTGTCTACATATTGGCAGGATCTCTTTTCTTTTTGATACCACCCTTCATTTGTCAGCCCCTCATACCCCAGAAATTGGACTGCTGGGCATCTTGAATGACTATGCTTGTATTTTGATTTGCATGCTTTTATTTTTTGCTCAGAAATTAATTTGTCTGAATTGAAAAAATGCAACTGCATCTTCCATACAACACTTTTATTGTTTGGTCAGTACGGAGCTACCTAAATTTGGGTTAATCCAGGCCCGGACTGGCCACAGGGCACACCGGGCATCCGCCCGGTGGGCCTGTGCCACCTGGATAAAAGAGGCAGCCGGGCGGCACATAGAGAACCATGTAGTTCTTGGTTCCTCTATGTGCCGCCCGGCCTCCTCTCCTATCCATTTCCTGCATGCTTCCCCTGTGGTCGCCCCCTTCCCTCATCTCCTCCAGCGGCCTCCCTCCTCATCCCCTCCAGTGCCCCCCCTCCTCCTTCATCTCCTCCAGTGGCCCCCTCCTTCATCTCCAACGCCCCCCCTCATCTCCTCCAGTGGCCTCCTCCCTCATCTCCTCCATCGGCCTCCTCATGTCCTCCAGCGGCCCCCCTCATCTCCTCCAGTGCCCCCCCTTATCTCCTACAGCAACCCCCTTCCTCATTTCCTCCAGTGCCCCCCCTCATCTCCAGTGGCCCCCCTCATCTCCTCCAGTGGCCCCCTCCCTCATCTCCTCCATCGGCCCCTGCATGTCCTCCAACAGCCCCCCCATCTCCTCCAGTGCCTTCCCTCATCTCCTCCAGTGGCCAACCTCCTCATCTTCTCCAGAGCCCCCCCCTCATCTCCTCCAGTGGCCCCCTCCCTCATCTCCTCCAGCGGTCCCCCTCCTCATCTCCTCCAGTGGCCCCCCTCATCTCCAGTGTCCCCCTCCCTCATCTCCTCCAGCTGACCCCCCCCCCCTCATCTCATCCAGTGCTGCGGGGGATCTGCCAGCATGTCTTCTCTCCCCCTTTCTTCTTTCTCTCTATCTCCTATTCTTTCTTTCTTTCTTTCTCTCTCTCTTTTCTTTCTCTCTTTCTTTCTTTCTTTCTTTCTTTCTTTTTCTTTCTTCCTCTGTCTTTTTCTCTTTCTTTCTTTTTCTTTCTTCCTCTCTCTCTCTTTCCTGTTTCTCTCCTTTTTTTCTTTCTTTCTCTCTGTCTCCCGTTTCTCTCATTTCTCTCATTTTCTATCTTTCTTTTCTATAGTTCTCTCTTTCTTTCTTTCTTTCTTTCTATACATCTCTCTTTCTTTCTTTCTCTCTCTCTTTCTCTCTCTCTGTCTCCTGTTTCTCTTCTTTCTTTCTTTTTCTTTTTTATACATCTTTCTTCCTCTTTCCCCTTTTTCTCTCTCATTCTATATATATATATACTTCTCTTTCTTTCTTTCTTTCTTTCTTTCTTTCCATATGTCTTACTCTCTCTCTCTCTCTCCTGTTTCCCTTCTTCCTTCTTTCTTTCCCTCTTTCCCTCTTTCCTTCTTTCCCTCTTTTTTCCCTAATTCTATACATCTCTTTTTCTTTCTCTCTCTGTCTCATGTTTCCCTCCTTCCTTCTTTCTTTTCCTCTTTCTTTCTTTCCCTCTTTTTTCCCTACTTCCTTATTTCTTTCTATATGCCTCTCTTTCTTTCTTTCTTTCTTTCTTTCTTTCTCATTCTCTGTCTCCTGTTTCTCTCCTTTTCTTTCTTTCTTTTCTTTCTCTCTTTCCCTCTCTCTTTTCCTCTTTCTCTCTCTCTCTTTTCCTCTTTCTCTCTGTCTTTCCCTCCTTCCTTCATTCTTTCTTTCCCTTTTTCTTTCTTTCTTCTTGCCTACAAAAAAATAAAAAAAAAATAATAAAATATAAAATTGTGAAAAATTAAATAAAAACCTACTGACACTAGTGGTGGAATTACCAAAGTCGTAAAGGTCACTCTTGTGGCTGGGCCCTGGCGTTCCACCATCAGGCTCCAAGGAAAGGGTCCCCGGGCTTCGGGCTGCTCAGTCCAAAGTGCATGTGCCTATTTGTTGTCCCAGTCTGGACCTGGGTTAATCTATAAGGGTCAGGCCTGCCCCAAGAAGTGTACAAGATCTGGCAGCCCTGGCTTTTTGGGGGGATACCCCACTTTCATAATAATTGTAATCTGTTTTTGGATTTTATTGTAACCCTTGGTCTATTGGTGTCATGGATACAGGCCTTATGGTCTCCTGGTTTTTATAGGGTAGTAACAGGCTTTGGTATGTGTGGACATATGGGTGTACAGTAGTTGGTGGCCTGCTCCTAGATACCACTGTCATTGATGTTTTCTGTGATTTGTGGTCTCTGTGTAACCCAAACGGTTTATACTGTATTCTTTGAATGTCTCCTACTGCACCATCCATGGAGTTTCCGTGTATATAACCAATTCTTTTCACTCTGATTTTGTGCTTTGAGTTGTAAAAAACTAAAACTTAAATAAACACCTTTAAAAAAAGAATTCCACAGGGATAATAACAGATTATTTTATATAGAAAAAGGCAAACTTTACCTGTTAATGTTCTAGTTTTGTCAAGTGTTGATTCTATGCTGAAACAGGACCTGGCCTTACAAATCTTTTTTTTTATATAGTTATAATAGAAAGCAGTTACAAATATGACAGGCTCATGAGTTCTCATGCACTAGGGTGTATTAGGATGTGATCTAAACTTTGGACTTTTGGCTATTGTTATTAATATTACTGTTACTGTACTGCAGTCATGGAAAACAATAATCTGCGAGTCCATCCAAAAATTATGTTAGTTTTGCAACAATTTATCTTGGCTCTGAATCTGTGACTATGGGATGAACAATGTGGTAATTTACTTGCCAGATTCTACCTAACACCCAATGAATTCTCATTTCTTTTTATCTCTTTATATACAGTACCTGTTATTAGTTGTTACTAATTTTGTTGGAAATGTCTTAACCACCAGCTGTCCAAGGCAATGTTGTAATTTTTCACATACAAGTAAAAATGAGCATTCTTTTAGTAGAATATTACTTAGAACCCCAAACATGATATATTTTCTAAAAGTAAAGGCACTGGAAAATGAAATGTTGGCTGTTGCAATTTTTTATGTCAAACCATATTCACGCAGTCATTTGTCAAACACAGATTTTCAGGAAAAAAACATACATTTATACGAATCTTAGTGTACACAAATAAAATACAATATACAATTTTTTGGTGAAATATAAAATATGATTTTGTGTCGAGTAAATAGATACCAAACATGTTAAGATTTAAAACTGTGCATGCCTATGAAATGGCAACAAACTACAGTACCTAAAATTGTCCATAGGCAATGCTTTAAAAGTCTTTACTGTTTATCAGTTTAGAGTTAAAGTGCTATTGAACCCGAAACCAGAATATATTGCAGTTTACCAGTCATTAGAAGTAGTGGCTATATTAGTTTTATTTTTTAGGCTTTTTTCCCTCTGTTTTCACTTGGTGATATGGCCAATAACACAACTCCTGTATTAGAGTACCACCACTTTTGATGAAAGAGCCCAGGGGACACATTTGGAGAGCAGAATTTTAAGTCTGGGGGAGAGGGAGGGGAAGGTTATATGTACTAGCATATTTAAATACACTAACAAACTGAAACCAAACTACAGTAAACACTTTTTAAGCAGTTACAACAAACAGTTTTTTTCATTTAGGATAAAGGTTTTACATAAATAACTAAAACTGATCATTGTAAGTACCCCTATCAGTGTTGAATGGTTTGCTTCATCCCCGGAACTGATACATGTACAAGAGATATACTGGCTAGATCACCAAATGAAAATTGAAGAAAGCAAGCCTAAAAAAGAAAACTAATGTAGCCATCAGATCGACAAAATGGTTAAGCTGCAAT